GTATAATAGCTATATTGGCGGACAGGTTGTCATCCTTTACCTTATTTTTCAAATTCACAAGGACTAAATGGTTGTCAGTTCCACCAGATACAAGTTCATAGCCCTTCTCAATCAAACTCTGCATAAACAATTGATTTGACACGGTAAACTCCACTGATTTAAGCAAAGAAGAAAGTTCAGGAATTAATTACTCCTTACAGCAAGCAAAACATGCAATGAAAAAGTACCATATTGATGATTTGTCAAAGGAGTCAGAAAATTTTCACTGCATACCTGAGCAAATTTGGAAGAATTACTAAGAACCTGCTCTTGGTAGGCTTTGTATTCCGGAGTTGTGGCCTATTGCAATATGGTAAAGAGGAGAAATATCATGAATGGAAACTAGGCGGACATCCAAATATCTAAATCTAGTATCCGAAATAAAATTTCGTGAAGATGGCCCCCAACTTTATTTGTCGAGAAAGACAAGAAAAAATAAACGACCTGCTTTAGTGCAACTGCCAGACCAGTTATGGTGTGGTTGTGTGGGCCACCTTGAAGACCAGGAAAGACAGCCTGATTAATTTTGTCTTCGTAGTCATAGAGCACCTGTCATAGATTATAATGAAATATTAGACCAGTAAGAACTTGCCCTTGAAATTTACTTAAATTCACTTCAAGGCGTAGTTGGAACCTTTACTTACTTCTTGTCCTTTTTTGTTGATCTCTTTAACACCCTTCCGGAAGAAAATCATTGCCCCTCGTGGTCCGCGTAAGGATTTATGCGTGGTTGTTGTCACAATATCAGCATACTCAAAAGGGGATGGAATAACGCCAGCTGCAACTAAGCCACTAATGTGTGCCATATCAGCCAACATGACTGCCTTCTGTTTGTCACAGATCTGTCAGAAATCAAAATAATCAGAACTAGGTCAAATGTTGCACAACGTAGAAGTGTAAAATCCTAATGGAAGCTATTTTATAATCTATCGCCAAACAAAGGAAAAACCTGGCGAATTCGTGCATAGTCATAGAGACGGGCGTAGGCACTTGCACCAGCAACGATGAGTTTTGGTCGGAACAATGATGCACTTTTTTCCAACTATTAGAATTTTGCTCCATATAAGTTAGTTTATTTGAAATTGCAGTTTCAAGACAAATCAACAGGATATCCCAATAGGCGCGAACACAGAAGCATTTCGAACCTGGTCATAGTCAATGTAACCAGTGCTCTCATCCAACCTATATGGCACTGTCTCGAAGAATATTGAAACGGCAGAAATCTTCTTGGTATCAGTCTGCAAAAAGTTAAAGAAATAAACATAGGAAAGTATCGTATCAAACATCATAAAAAGTACAAGTTACCAAATCACCAAAAGCAGCAATGTCAAAACCAAGTAGTAAATTTGAAAATAAACACCTGGTAACCATGCGAAAGGTGTCCACCATGTGGTAAATCTAGAGCCATAATCCTCTCATGAGGTTTTAATAATGCAGTATATGCCTGAAAGTTAGCCGGTGATCCAGAGAGAGACTGCACATTAACTACAAAAAAAATACCATTCTGGGTTTAATCAAAGACGGTAGGTACTTTGGCAAGTTCTCTCACATAGACCAAACTGAATGGTCTCAGAGTTGGTTATATAAAAAGAGAAAGCCAAACCAAACCACGAGACTTCAGTGGTTCACACTAGAGCAAATATCACCAACATGTCTTCTTTCCAAGATGTGTCCAAAAGAAAAGGGAGGTGCAGACAATTTTCTGATTAATATATGCAACAGCCATCCCGTGGGTCTTTTATTTTTCATTGATCACACCATTAAAAGGCACCATGTCGAGAAAAGCTTGTTTATAAGTACATTTACTGAATCAGAAAGTTCTTAAAACGATTGCACGTGTTCAGCTGAATTAACACGAAACTCAGGACAAGACACAGTGAACTGCTATACTTATACAAAGAGAGTCTGAAACAAATTTACCACTTGGAAATTAATCACATATCATTAATTGTCTATCAAAGCATAACTAAGTAGATAAACGCAGCTGTTAACTGCCTAGAAGCCGAAGGTCCAATCCCCCGCCCTGCATAGTAATACTTCAAAAAAGAATAACAACAATAATATATCAATAATTCTCATACCTCCCCATTTTGCAGGGTCCAAACGGAAAGCTTCTAGTGCACGTTTCTGGCACAAGGTTTCAGCCATGTCAATGTACCTAAATCCATTTGGCGTTTATAATTAGAAGCCCATAAAGGAAACGAAAAGAAAAAAGAGAAAAATGAAAACAAAAGGAATTACATACAGAAATTATCGGTGCCATCGCAGTAAGTTACAGATTCTAAGAACTTGCAACGTTTTTGCTAATATTAAGAAAAACTGATGATGGTCTTTCATGTAATTTATACTCTGTTCTTATTTTGTTTCAAAACTTCAACAATTTATTCCAAAAACAAAAGTACTCTGGAATTGAGATAGATCCACATACTCATTTCCACCATAGTATCTGGCACCAGGATATCCTTCACTGTACTTGTTGGTCATGACTGAACCAACTGCTTCCATCACTGATGATGAAGTGAAATTCTCAGAAGGTATAAGTTCAAAACCCTTCACATTCAAAAAAGAATCGTACAAGATTTGATGTTAATCACGAAGCTCAACTCAATTCAATGGATATCAACACCATTAACGACAATTTCAACCTTAAAAAAAATGAAGCGAATAGATCAACGTCAAATTTTCAAAAGCACAAAGAGCACGAAAACAGCTCGTAGTGAAACAAAAAATACCTTCCATTGACGAGCTTTCTCGAGCTCAATGATGTCTGCAATTTCCGGATCAATAACCCCGAGGGGGGCGTTCAGCTGCTTAATCCACTGCAAGCAAAATTTCCTCCAAATATCAACATCGATACAAGAAACTGAGTCATCAAACAGATCTCGTACACTCCATGATCCACATACATTCCTTAGTCCTTACTTAAGTTCTAACTTCAATAAGAAATTTTTGCATCAGAAAATGTAAATTTCTTTAGATATAAATAAATGGAATGCTCACAGTAGCTCGAGCCTTGTCCCTTTCCTCCGCAGCGGCACCGGACAGAGAAGACTGCGGCCATATAAAACGAATTCATACACAAAAACGAGTAAGAAAATTTCGGCATCAGAAGTTATCAAGAATGACGAATGTAAACACCATAGATATTATGAATTAACAATGGCGGTGAGAATTACCATGTGATGGAGAAACCGGCCATTGACGAGAGGAACATTGGATTTGGTAACGCCGACGGCGAGTCTTCGAAGCGCCATAGCCATTGGTTTCTGTAAGCGATTGAATCTCCTCCCGATATCGAAATGCGTGAAAGGTTCCGCGCACTTTTGATCTGGTGCTCTTCCGTTGTCACCACTGCCAGTGGGGTTAGTAGGTTGGTGATGGAGGCCCGATGCCGGTGAAAAAATATTAACTAAGCTATTTTTTAATAATTTTTTTTCGAGGTATATGTCATAATAAATAATTAATAAAAATATTTCTAAATTTTAAATTAACAACTGTATTTTAAAAAGTAATAATTTGTTTCTAAAATATTTTTATGCTTTCAAAAATTTTATTAATGTCTTATAATTTTTAAAAAATTTTAAAAATATTTATACTAAAAATCTTTAATTACCGGTTTCAAATTTTTTTTTTTTTGAAATTTAATATTAATTAAATTAGACTAAAAGTTTGCATTTAAGTAATTTATTTGAAATTTAATAAGATATATAAAAAAAAAAAAAAATTTCGAGATTGATGTTTACAAGTTAAATTAGACAAAAAAGATATGCACGGGTTATAAGAGAAGAATTCGGGTCAAATCTCCAAAATAACCCTTCAACTCGCCCGATGAAGATCGACCTTACACGAGGTTACGTGTCATGGGACTCGTGACATCCTAGTTCAATTTAGTCTAATGGTAAGAAAAATAAAAGAAATCTGGAATAAGCAAAAGTATTTTTATTTTTATTTTTATTTTTTTCTTTTTGTCTTTTCAACTGAGCACTTGTTCCCCACCTTTTTTAAACCTTTTGTTTTTTAAAAGTGAACTTTAATTTTTATTAAAGCTTGAATGACCGATTAATCTAAATATTAAATTTATCTTCGGGATAAAATTTATTCGTAATTTGAAGAATGAATCGTTTGATTGGATCAAAGTCGGACATAAATTTAATCGAATATTAAAATCTATCTTTATATTATATTCGAGTTGTCTGAACGATAAGCCTATTTGATCGACCGATCTAAATATAATCCAAATGAATGAGTCTATGAGCCAATCCATCATTCAAAACGGTGGTCTATATCCAATCTAATAAAGGGTTCGTGTGGATTGGATCAGATGGTTCTTGGGTTAGGTTTGGATTGGACTCGAGTTTGAGTTTGGATCGACCTTTCGATCACCAACATAAGGACGAGACTAAGTTGTTAATCGTTTATATAGTCTGTTAAAGATATTTTTTACTATTGAATTTTAAATTAATTTTTTAACTCTTACATTTAAAATCACGTCTATATAGCTTTTGAATTCATTTGTCGTCTTCCTTAACAAAAAGTTTTAAAAACGATAATTTCATTTTTTTTTCGTGCACGTTTTATGATACTTGGAAGACAACATGAATGAACCGAGACAATATTTACAACAACCTAAGTTCACCACTAGTAAATATTGTGAATTTTAAAACGCGTTTGCTAGGGTCTCACAATCCACCCCTTTTAGGACCCAACATTCTCGCTAGCACACCGTCTAGTGTCCATCCCACTTCAGGGCTTAGCGTTCTCGCTGACACACCGTCTAGTGTCCACTCCCCTTCAGGGCTTAGCATCTTCGTTGGCTCGCTGTCGGACTATGATACCATTTGTAACAACTCAAACCCACCGCTAATAAATATTGTCCTCTTTGAGCTTTTCAGTTTTAAAATTTGGATGGATTTATATTAATTAATTAAAAAAAAAAACTTTTCGAGGGAAGATACGCGAGACTGCATCAGCACGAAGCCCACTGCTATGGATTGGGCCACCGAGCGTTGCGCTTCCTACTCATGCGGCCGCCTCCGCTTCAGAGACGAACGCAGGCTCACAAACTGGATAAGCAAACCCGCCGCCGCGCCATTAACTCGCCTCCATTTTCCCCTATTCCATTTTTACGTTCACCGTAAGTTGAAGGAAGATTATGGATTTAACCTTGCCTGCAAAGAATTATACAGAAGGATTCTGTTTGTTTCATCGCCACAGCGCCAAAATTCGCGGCCGTGAAGTTAGGGCCAAGCAATTGGTTACATCGGAGGCCAATTCTTTGAGGCTTTATGTAGGAGCAAAAGGAAAATCTCGCTTCCTCGTTATTCCTTCCGATGATTCTGAGGAACCGATTTCTTCGATTACTAAACAGCTCAACATTGTTCGTGCGGTTTCGAGAGTCGATACGCTTAGATTGCAACATGGCCATTTGAACGGCGCCAATTCCTCTTCATCTGCTTCGAATCATTCGCAGAGTTTCGAGGGATTCGAGAACAATAATCATCTTCGTCTACTGGTAAGAAATGGGGAATTAGAAAACGGGTTTAAATTTCTTGAGGATATGTTCTTTCGTGGTGAAATTCCTGATATAAATGCCTGCACTATTTTGATTCGTGATTTGTGTAAGACTGGGAAGATTAGGAAGGCCACTCGGGTTATGGAAATTTTGAAAGATTCGAGGGCTGTTCTTGATGTTAGAACTTACAATATTCTAATTAGTGGTTACTGTAAATCTGGTGAAATTGGCAGTGCTTTGAAACTTTTTGAACGAATGAGTGTCTCTCCTGATGTTGTTACTTACAATACAATCTTGCGAACTCTCTGTGGCTGTGGGAGGTTGAAGCAAGCCATGGATGTTCTTGATAGACAGCTGCAGAGTGAGTGTTATCCTGATGTGATAACTTACACTATATTGATTGAAGCAACTTGCAAGGAAAGTGGTGTTGGGAAGGCGATGAAATTGTTGGATGAAATGAGGAACAAAGGATGTAAGCCTGATGTTGTCACTTATAATGTTCTTATCAAGGGGATTTGCAAGGAAGGGAGGTTGGATGAAGCTATTAAGTTCTTGAATCATATGCCTTCTTATGGTTGCCAACCGAATACGATCACTTATAATATAATTTTGCGTAGCATGTGTAGTACCCAGCGGTGGATGGATGCCGAGAAGCTGTTGGACGATATGGTTCGGAAGGGATGTTCTCCTAGTGTTGTGACGTTCAATATCTTGATTAACTTCTTGTGTCGAAAGGGCTTGCTTGGTCGGGCTATCAATGTTTTGGAGAAAATGCCTCGGCATGGCTGTACTCCGAATTCCTTGAGCTACAAACCGTTGCTTCATGGATTCTGCAAAGAGAAAAGGATGGATCGGGCAATTGAGTTTTTGAATACCATGGTTTCGGGAGGCTGTTACCCGGATATTATGACGTATAATACTCTGTTGATAGCTTTGTGCAAAGATGGGAAGGTAGATGTTGCAGCTGAGATAGTGAATCAACTTAGAAGCAAAGGCTGCTCTCCTGTATTGATTACATACAACACTATCATTGATGGGCTCTCAAAGGTAGGCAAGACAGAAGATGCCATTAAATTTCTCGACGAGATGAAGGGAAAAGGACTCGAACCGGCTATAATTACGTACTCCTCGCTCGTCGGAGGACTGAGTAGAGGAGGAAAAGTTGATGAAGCAATTGCATTTTTCCATGATTTAGAAGAAATGGGTGTGAGGCCAAATGCTAACACATACAACTCTATCATGTTAGGACTTTGTAACATTCAACAAACCAATCGAGCCATCGATTTCTTGGCCTACATGGTTGCCCGAGACTGTATACCGACCGAGGCTTCGTACATGATTCTCATTGAAGGATTGGCGGATGAAGGACTAGCCAAGGAGGCATTGGAGTTGCATAATGAACTGTGCTCTAGAGGAGTTGTGAAGAAGAGTTCTGTGGAGCAGGTGATAGTAAAAAACTCTGTTTGATTTCTTTTTACTTCAGCCATTGTTTGATGGCCTTAGATTTCATCATTAGATCTTCATAGATATGGGGTTCTTTATGATTCTTAGAGCCAAATTATGTTCCCTTCTTTGCCAAAATGGGTAAACCCAAATCAATTTTGTAACATAAAATGGCTCAACTTGAGTAGCTCGGTTAGACACTAGATTTAGAAATCAGATATTAACTTCAACGCGTTATTGATTTATAAATAAGTAAAATAAGGGTTAAATGCTGTTTTATACATGTTTAGCTCACTTTTAACCCTGGTTTATATATTCAAGCACTATAAACTCATTTTAATCATGTTTGAAATTTGTCAATTCACCAACCATTTCTACAATTTCTACTTAAACAATTAAACAATTGCTCATTGCTCATGCCCACCCCACCCCATCGATGGTGTACTTTCATATTTTTTATTAGTGAAATGATGTTTTTATTTCATTATAAAGGGCATTTCCTTTCCCCCAACCAACGTGGGATATCACAGAAAAAATGTTTTCACACTATTATAAAGGGCGTTTCCTTCTTTACTTCTCCTTCCCAACCAATGTGGGATATCACAGAAATAAAGCATGAGAGACTCTTAACTTCCCATTCCCAACCAATGTGAAATATCACAGAAATCAACCAATGTGAGATATCACAGAAATAATACATTATCATTCACCTCTACGATACTCTTAAATTCCCATCCCCAACCAGGGTGAGATATCACTAAAATCAACCAATGTGGGATACCACAGAAATAATGCATTATCATCCACATCTACGATACTCTTAACTTCCCATTACCAACCAATGTAGGATATCACAGAAATCAACCAAGGTGAGATATCACATAAATAATGCATTATCATCCACCTCTACGATACTCTTAACTTCCCATTCCCAACCAGGGTGGGATATCACAGAAATCAACCAATGTAGGATATCACAGAAATAATGCATTATCATCCACATCTACGATACTCTTAACTTCCCATCCTCAACCAATGTGGGATATCACAGAAATCAACCAAGGTGAGATATCACATAAATAATGCATTATCATCCACCTCTACAATACTCTTAATCAAACATAATCAAATCGGTTACTAACAAAACAAATTAAACAATCAATAAATTAGTGAAAAAAAAGAATAAGTATTCAAATATCTAACGTATTTTGCTACCTTTTGCAATTCCCCTAAAAAAGGTAAAAAAAAAATAGTGATCTCCAAGTGAATTCTTACTTCTAAGAGGGCAGTGAAATTATTTTTTTAACTGAAAAAGAGAACAAGCAGAAAGCCAGAAACTGACCGAGCTGACACAAAAGGCAAACCTATCAATATCAATAAAACCGAATCCACCAACAGTTCTAAAAAAATAGGAACAAACAGTTGGTTCATGTGGTTCTGACCCAAAGCTGGCCCCAGCTGATATAAGGTACACTAACAACTTTAATTATCATTCAGACAAATTTTCCATCATTCTTCTAGTCGTGTATAAAGCACTTTCCACTTTATGAACATTATTCTCAATATATATTGACCAAAATCAAATGCCATAAATCCATCGGCTGTGTTCAACCGAATTACCTGATATGATTATCAACCTTGAGATTAAAGAGAATGAACCTAAAATGTTGTTTCAATCTGATTCTTTTTAAGGTAAAAAAGAACCCATCTGGATCGGAAAAAAAAAAAAAAAAGAAGAGAAAAGATGAAAAGATGAAAAGAAAGAAGAAAAACCCACCAATTTTGGAACTTCGGAATTGAAGATCAAGGCTAGTCTGAGTACAAGGACATCAGGCACAGACCAATGTGTTTAATTTCCAGATTCACACATTTTAAATAGCATAAGCAAATGACATTTGAAGCCCACCTCCTCCTCCCCCACCATTCACAATCACAGGACAGGTCGAGCTCATGCCACCTTCTACGACTCGTCTAACTGGTCCTGCAAACAAGTCAATACTCGCAACCGTTACGGCCTAGTAATAATAAACATGAATAGGGGCTGTAATTTGTACTTCGGAAGAAAAATATCTAATAGTCCCCTAAATTTACGGGTTTGTGCCTAAATTCGTAGCTGAATTTGTAAGTGTTAATAAGTCCTGAAACGTTTAATTGTGTTTCTCATAGACCCTTGTATTTCTTGTTTCATGTGTAATAGGAAGGAACATTTTAGACACTTGCAAGTTGAAAGTTAAGGACTCTTTCTTTTGGGAGGGTGGTATTCACTGACCTGCGCATCTGAAGTCCAGAGCGTGAGGTTGTCCCTCAACAGCTGCATGATGAGGGTGCTGTCCTTGTATGATTCTTCACCCAAAGTGTCCAGCTCAGCGATGGCTTCCTCAAATGCCTGAACAGAAGCATAAGAACTGGTGAGTAACACACGCAAAAGAAAGATGGGAAAGCATATTGCTTGTAGCATGCACCTACACTACAGTAGTGCAATTGCAAGCACATTTTAGCAAAAAGAAAATGTAACATGCATCGGATCCAGTTTCAAAAGAGTCAACCACGGGTCAGTAAGGTTAGCTAAGGAGCAGATTCATAGCGGACAGTTTAAATTTATGATAGAACTATTTCGAAGGGAAACGGATCGAAACACGAATCACGTTCTGATTCAGTCACAGATCCAATCATCCTCTGTAGAAGTAAGACGCCTAATACCAGTAGTTCACAATGGTTTGAGGAAAATAAGATTGGCATATATGATATCATGGGATTCCTGAAAGCTGGAACTAAAGACCAAAAGAAGGACGATACAAGAACAAATGCAACAATATCAAATATTTGAATCGTCAGTCAAACTAGATGCATATTGAACAAACATGTCCAAATCTGCATATGCAAGCCTACAGTTGTAAGATCCATGTTAAAGTATTTCATGGGTAAAGCTGGTTCAAAATCTGCATATAAGTGACGCTATGAAACATGTGATAGTCATAAAATTCAACGTGAAGACAATAGTTCAACAAAGTCGCCACAGTAATAGTACTAGCTGATGAAATTTCTTAGGAACTCTTGATAGCCCAGAAAAGGTACAATATCACAAGGATCTACGACAGTAGGCCCCAGAAATAAAAGCAAAAAGTAACAGAGTTAGCCCACGCATCTCAGGCATAAAACAAGGAGGAGAAATAATGTAGAAAAGGGGATATGAAATGGGAGACTGAAAACAAAAAAGAAGGATCAAGTTTACCTCCTTGGCCATGCTACATGCTTTATCGGACTGATTCAGAATCTCGAAGTAAAACACAGAGAAATTGAGTGCCAGACCCAGCCTTATCGGATGAGTGGGTGCAAGATCCGCAACTGCGACATCCTTCGTAGCACAAAATCCAACAAGTGTAAAATCAAAATTCAGAATAATCCAAACTCAAGAATCAATATGTTAGAATTGAAAATTCCTAATATCATATTGTTTGATTAATTAAAACAAACCATTAGAAGCGCTGCGACATAGAGATGGTCAGTTGAAAAATGGGGATCTTCCCCAATGAAAGCTAAGAAGAAAGAGTAATAAAGAAAAAACGTCCGAATGTGAAATCCATTGGAACTTCCAAAATCAAGATTTCAAGAAGGTTGTAGACAAGAATACGGAAACATGACAACAGTAAAAGATGGATCGCGTAAATAGGGACATGTTCGGCGGCGGGACTAAATCAGTATTCAAAGTCAATTCACAAGTGAAATATCTAACCTAACAGATCACAAAAACAGCAACATTTCAAAATTAGATCAATAACACTACCAACAAAGAAAAGCAAAAGAACCACAAGTACCAGAGCATCCCTATAAGCCAGCATAGCATCCTCAGCAGCAGCTTTCCTCTCATCCCCAGCCTTAAACTCCGCCATATACCTATGGTAATCCCCCTTCATCTTCAAGTAGAAGACCTTAGACTCACTAGCACATGCCGATGGAATTAGATTCGAGTCCAAAAGCTTCAAAATACTAGCACAGACCTCGGAAAGCTCGGACTCAACCTTTGATCTATAATCCTTAACAAGAACAACATGCTCTTCATTCTTACGGCTCTCCTCCTTCTGCTCGATAGAAGAGACAATCCGCCAAGCAGCTCGAAGTGAGCCAATCACGTTCTTGTAAGCAACAGAGAGAAGATTTCGCTCCTCGACAGAGAGCTCGGAGCCTGGGGTTGAACCAAGAACAAGTTTCTGCATGAACTGAACCATCTCCTCATATCTTTCAGCCTGCTCGGCAAGCTTAGCTAGATACACATATTGCTCGCGAGAGAGATTGTCCGGCACGGAGGCGGCCATTATTAAACTCCGGCGAGCTTGAAGCGATGGAGAGAGAAAGAGAGATAGAGACGGAGACAGAGAGATTTGCGTTTTCAACGTTCGCCGTTTGGTAAAGATGCGCGGGTGGCCTTAAAAACCCAAAAATAAATAAATAACAAAAAAAAGAGCCATATTAGCCTGCGGTGAATGTAGAATGAGAGTGAAATAAGAGCCGTTGGATTAAAGTTGGTGACGATGACATGGAGATGATTGAGGAGGATTGCCAGCTATGAAAATGCAAGGAAAAAGGATGCCAACACATCTTTTTCTATTTTTAATAATTTCAATCATTATCTGTGAAGTACTGTTTCAATTAATTTCTAATTATTAATTACGCATTGCCCCGTCACATATATTTTTATAATTACATTAAAATTATATCTTAAATATTATTTAAAAAATCTCCAAAAACATATTCGTTTATTACCGATTAATAAATTAGTGGGAGGGAGGGATGAAGGATACTGAATTCTATGGGTTGACTTTTAAGAATAGCAAAAATTCCTTATATTTCAAAAATAATTTCTTTTAAAATATTATACTTCCTTTTTAATAATTTAATCAAATACCATTAAAAAATATATAAATACGATAAAAAAAATTGCATAATTTACGTAAAGTAAAGATGAACTTCTCACATGAAAATAGCTAGAACTAAACACGAAAAAAATATATGACAAAAAAAATGTCCCCAAGGGCCATCCGATCATTTACTTAAAGAATCCATTCAAGTTACTTGTTAAAATTTGAGTAGAAGTAATAACAAGATTTATTGCCTAACTATGAGATGTCACATCAGTTGTAGAGGGAAACAAAGCATTGTTGAGTGTAGAAACCTCTTCCTACGCGTTTTAAAACTTAGAGGAGAAGCTCATAAGGGAAAAGACAAAGCTCAGAAAGAAAAACCCAAAAATGACAAAGCTCAGGCTAACAGAAGGCACAGATTTCATAACGGAAGGCTTGATAACCGATTTCAAACAACTCACAGCATACCCATCTCAACCTAGAGTTTTAAATATAAAAGCCAGCCTCCAAACACATTAATGATTCAAATGAACAAAGATTCTATTGCTGTGTCATAGAGAATTTTGGGCCTGCAATATCAACAACTTAAAGAGTTGAGGGAAGAGAGAGAGAAAGAGAGAAAAGGCCACAGATTAAGAACACAGTAGAATTGAGGTGGATCTATTGTTAAGGAAGAGAATAGATACATAATATGATATTTTTATACAAAAATCAGAACAAAACAAAGTATAGGGTTCTAAGAAAGCTTGAAAGGGGTCTGGCAGCTCTGGGGGCCACTAGAATTGTGTGATGTCAGCAGATTGATGATATAGTAGGCCAAATGTTCTCACATGTACTGAACAGGTGATGTGTTTAGTAGGAAGAAGAGTGGCTCTGTTTCTTACCAAATTGAATGCTTAATTCCAAGGCCATTGCAAGTCAATATAAGCCCTTTGAAACGGTTGAGATATTCCTGCACGGAGCATAAGAATTTACAGACATATAAGGATAATAGTAGGCATGGATGATGTTAAAGAAAGTTAGCAGAGAGAAAAAGGGATTTCTTACAACTACGTTGTAATCATATTTGTACAGCATGTCTTTGATGTCGTATTCTCTCCTCTTGATGGGATCACTCAAAACTGTCCATGAATAATACAAGTGTTGGTGTGAGATCTGGAGTTCATTGATTTTAAATAGTTAGCCTTTTTGTTTGTTTTTGTGAAATGATCCATAAGAAGAAAGAGGCACAGAAGATTAGGTATTCTCCACAGGCTATAACAGCCTGGACTAACATACAAATCTTACAATTGAGAAAGAGGGGAAGAAAAGATAGAACAGGAGAAGTCCCTGGATGAAGAAGAGTCAAGTGGAGAGATTGATAATTACTCCAATTATATTGCTGAAACTATACACCTCCAACAGATGGACCGCTAGCAGATATTGTCTGTTTTGGCCCGTTACGTATCGTCGTCGGCCTCGCGGTTTTAAAATGTGTCTATTACGGAGAGGTTTCCACACCCTTATAAGGAATGTTTTGTTCCCCTCTCCAATTGATGTGGATCTCATAATCCACCTCTCTTGAGGACCCAACGTCTTTGCTGGTACATTGCTCAGTGTCTAGCTCTGATACCATTTAAAACAACCAAAACCCACTGCTAGCAGATAGTCTGCTTTGGCCTGTTACGTATCGCCATCAGTCTCACGGTTTTAAAACGTGTTTGTTAGGGAGAAGTTTCCACACCCTTAAAAGGAATGCTTCATTCTCCTCTCCAACCGATGTGGGATCTCACATCCTCTCTCTCTCACACGGACAAAGCATAAGGAAACAAAAAAAACAAAACAAGTGAAACATGCATTTACATTTAATTCTGAGGTATAACTGAACCATAGATCTCCCATTGAATCAGTGACGGTTAGATCATATGGAGTTGATCCACGAAACCCCAAGGCAAAACTCAATCAAATAACAGTGTCGTGTTTGGTAGCCAAGGAAACTAATATTGCACAGGAGAAATTGGAACAGATTGTGTTGTTTAATTGGATATCGAGTATGGATGTGGGAACAGAATTCAATCAACTGTCTGGAGAATTTCCTCTAAATTGGTTTGTCAAGCATTCCCTTAATTGTCTTCTGTCTATTAAAATAGGTTTTCTACTTGATCTTAAAGGAATCTTACTCCCTTTATTTTTACAGATTCCCCAGAAAAAATGCAATGAATACTTGCTTCATGAAACAACAGAATCCTCCCTTTCCATACTCCTCCAACCAATCAAGCTTGCACTTGGTATGTAGATACGTACAGTAAGAGCAGTTAAAAGATGGCTTGGAAGAGAAAATGCTAGGGTGGTTAGATGGCTGCTACCTCCTGACTCGTTTCTAAAAGATTAATTATTTGCATGAAAGGCATTCTTAAACCACTAAAACATTCAAGAAAATGCATATAAGGAACACCTTGACGGTGAATTCAGCTCAGTTTCCCACCTGCTCCTGCACGGCTGCAGCTAATGCTTTCAAGTTCAACCTCACAAAAGTACGGGAGATTAAGTTAAATCTGACTGATAGGTAATCATACAGAGTTTATCCTCGTAACCAAGAAGAAAAAAAACATTTTCCATCATGTACCTCCAAAATCAAGATTAGCGTCTAAGAATGCTAGAAGATACACATTTCGAGAGGATAATATATCACTCAGTTATCTCTGTAGATTGATTAAGAAACAAATATTTCATTGAAGGAATGATAATATATAAGATGCCATCTTTACAAAAGTTAAAAAAGACGTACAAAATGTTAAATGGAGGACGATACAAGCTCTTGTATAATATACAATGATTTCTTTGTATAGCATTGCTATTTGCTACAAGACACCCATGTCAAGATGATATAATGCTCTCTTGAATACCTTCTGTGTATAATAAAGCTCACACCTTACTTTCACAATTGGGATATTTCTGAGCTGAGCAACCTCCTGTCTTAGTTGCCCTTAAAAGCCGCAGATTTGCAAGCAATGGCTTGAAAGCTCCCATTTACTTATTCCTCTTAATTAAGCTCAAAAGGATTCCACCCTTTCTACTACCTTTCTCATTTCTTTAATAGCCAAAAGAAAGTTGTGCAATATCCACACCCACTTCAACTTCTTTCATTTTCTTTTTCTTTATTTTTAACTCCTTGAAGCTATTTTCTTCGCCGACACATTTTCCTCGTCTTTATTTTTCTTTCTTCTTTTTATACTAAGAGGCCATGAAACAACTACATGAAAGCCTTCTCTCAACATGAGAGAGAGAAAGAGAAGCATCCATCTTACGTGCTATTTTCTCCAAATTCATACTAATTGTTAAAATTGAGAAGAATGTTTTGACTTGTACCATTATTCACAACCCTCCCCATCTTAAGCCACATTGTGAAATCCTTAAAATCTTAGCATTAATATTAAAAAGCTTTTCCTAAATTGAATATTTGTGCACATGATCAAAACACTACGAGTATTTAGCACCATTCAATTGCATGGAACTATTCAAGTAGATTTTAAAACAACTGAAAGAAACCAATCAATCAGATTGAGCTGAATTGGTAGGGTTAAGATTCCAAGAACTCTGCCCAGGTACCAGAACATAGCAGATTATTCTTCATTGCAGATCTGAGTGGAAGGTTTGTATGAAAGAAGACAGCCAGTAAGTGGCAGTTCCTCTTCTCCTCATGAGAAAGTCAGAGATCAATAAAGATAATGAATCACACAAAAAATCTAGAAAGATTCTGCGTCTCTTCAACCACTAAGTTGACATTTTTTTAAATATAGAAAAGGAGGAGAGAAGATATAAGTATCAACTATCAAGTTTACCAAAGGTTTCAAAGAAAAACAAAAAGAAGTTGGCCGAGAGATTTATTCTTTGCCAGCAAAGGGAAGCATCCAGACTTCATTAGGAGAACTGGAGAGAAACATAAATGTTCAAGCCAAATGACATGAGGATGAACCGTGAGCTCCAAATAGCAACCAAGAGAACGAGATGCTTCTTGATGGTAATCATTTTTATCATCCCCATCCACCCACCACCCAGAAAAGAAAATGCAAGAACCAAAAATTTGTCATATCCCAACAAGACATTATGACATATCTGAGATACTCTTACTCATGGAAATTGCTAAATAGCAACAAGACTAGTACCATGGAGTCTCTCAGAAAAATTCCCTTTTCCATTCTTGTTTCTTTCATTTCTGTAAGTACTTGGGCATCTAAGGCCTTCATGTTACCACCTTGGAAGGAGAAATCTGAAATGTATGAGCCAAAAAGATTGGTACTAGGCTACGAGCCTTCTCTTTTCGGTCTAAGGGAATCCCTGCGGTCTTCAATGTTTTATCATGTTCAAAACTGTGACTCTCACCTCTTCTGCAATATTTGATAGCCTGGTAATTCGAACTGTGTGATATCCCCTGGTAGGTAACCACGAGGACCCTTAATTTTGGAACTCCTTAGCCTACCAACTGACATTGTATTTGGTAATCCCTTTAGCTGAGAGTCGATGCCTTACAGCTCCTATTTGTACAATTTGTCCTCTAATGATGTCTCCTTTGT